AAGTCTGTCAATTCAACAAATTAATACTTCTAACATGAAGCCGAACACGTTCACAGCATGAAAACAACAAAACTAATCATTTTAATCCCAAAMTGCTTTGTTTATATTACTTTAATTTCCAAATGGCTGTCAGATTACTGGCATCTCTTACGCACTGCTAAAGCAATGCATAACACCCACCAGAGTTTAAACCTCAAGAAGCTCAACTGAGTCGAAAACATTCAGACTCAAAACTCCTTAAAGCTCAGGGTCAGATGAGATTCAGTCTCATCTTTAGTCAACTAATGTTTCATTTCTGAATTTTTCACTTGTTGATTTTTCTCCACGAACTCAAACGAAACATTCTGCAAACAGAAGTGAGTCAGGTGGAGCGGGCATCTCACAGCTCATACCTGCTGATGAGTTTTAATTAAAGCAATAAAACTGTCTACAGGTCTGAAGGCAGCTGACCCAAAACATCCTGGTGCTCAGACCGAACCTCGGAGCTCCACGAGTCCGATGTTTCAGYAGAAACAGGAAGAAAACTAAACTCATCCTCCCATCTCTGGTTGGTGGAATCAGAAACAAGCTGCAGCTAATGTTTCCATCGCAGATCAATAACGAACGCGTCAAACAGCAACAGGACGAAGCCGAAGCTACAGAGTCGTTAATAAGAGCTGTGGATAATCAGGCCGCGGCGCTGCGAGGGCGATTAGCATCGGCCGCCTGCTCTCCGAGCGATAAGCTAATCAGCCGTTCGTCTCCAGCGAGCCGTCAAGGGGACTCATCATCATTGACATTTCAGCTCCGGATCGAGCCTATAGAGCCGAGTCTCTGAGGAGAGGGAGGCACCTGAAGTGACTTAATTATCATTGCTGCACAATGATAGCCACTCAACCCTATTCTGCCTTTTTCTAACTCAAGGTGAACCCGGTTGTTTGAACGCAACACTTTCCTCTCTGCTGTTAACATCTGCTGCACAAGTGCTGGYTAATTTACTGAACGAGTGGGCCGCCATCTTTTCCCCTCTGAGCACGCTTCCAATCTGAGACCCCTGGTGTGTRATGTAAATACACTGAAGAGAACTAAGAGATGAGCTGTAAACTGTTTAAGTTTGTAAAGTTACAGATTAAAAAGCACTACAACTTATTTAAATAAAGTGGACGAGTTTCTAAACTCAGAAAATAGATGTAAAGATCTGAGTGTTCTGCCTCAAAATGATTTTAAGTTTTATGAAATAAGACAAAAATCCTAACTTTCTGTCCATAAAGAGAAACTAAACTGATGCTCAGATGTTTGGATTTTTACATCAATCATTTAAATGTTTTGTTTTGTATCCCAGCGTTGCACAACAGAGACTCCATATAAAGTGAATTTACATGAACAGTGGGATTCTTCTCCACATAAGAACCAAACCTTSTGCTGCCTGAACCAGTGAAATCACAGCAAGTTATTATTTCATGAGAAAAGTTGAACATGAACAGTGGTTYGCACAGTGTGTGCATTTTAAACACTTCAAAATTTACAAATGCACTTTTCTGTTTAAACATAATAATTACTGACTCTTACTAACAGTCAAGAGGAAATTAGAGCACAACATTCAAACTGTGTAGAGATGGGATAAATGGCTCTTTGAAGGCATCTTGAGGAGCCGTTTGTTTCATAAAACCGTTCAAAAGAGCCGTTCAGTTTCGAACGAGTTACATCACATGTCRTACGTGATGACATCATCACATTACACGGGTGAAGCAGAAGCCCTCTCCTTTCCCTCTGAGCTGCTGGACTCCACCGCTCTGCTGGTTTCCAGTGAAACAGCAAAGCAGGAGCGAAATAATAAAGATTATAYGAGGAATAAAAAAACTACAAACGATTCTTTACTGCCCGAGACTCGGCTCCTGTCACTCGTTAAGRAGTCGTTCAAAAGATTCGGACATCAAAACTCTGCAAACAGATGAGAAATATGCTCCAACGATCCAAAGATCAGTCCAGGCTGAGAACAGAGTTCATCATTGTTGACACAAACAAACTTTAAACTACTGCTCAGCACTAATGGTTGATTATTTCCTGCTTTAACAAGGCTTCTTCACAATAAAACTTTTACTGGCCACCTGACTTGGAGGTATTGTAACCCACATGCTCAGCTCTACTGCTCAGCCCACAAATGTATGTTCCTTACAAACGTGGCTCCATTTAAAAGGGAAATTAAAGTGCTTGTGACATGTTTATCCTTCAAATACAAAAAGTCAAAGAAAACATCTTTATACTTTAGAAAATTGGCATTGTACAGATTATTTTACTCATTTTGTCTCATAACTGGCCTCTTTTCTTTTGAATTAGGCTCAGCCAAAGTGAAACAGGAAGTGACATCAAAGGGGAACTCTTTAATAAAATAAACTCACTGGTTTTTGTTTATTAAAACAAAATTATTTAAACTTTAACTGTTCTTCATCTCTCTTTGACAGTGACTCAAAATAATCTAAAAAACATCTGATTCTCCTCTAATTATTGTAGCATCGCTCTGTTCACATGCAGACACTCCCCTTTGACATCACTTCCTGTTTCTTCACATGCAAATATCTCAACAACTGTTCATCTCCGAGGCAAGAAATTTGTTTTGCAACATGTTATCAGTGTTTTCTTTCCAAAAATGCATTTATGTTTATTACAAAAATTCATTGTCACAGGCACTTTAACAGGCTTTCCAACATTATAAGATTRATTCCCAAGAAACACTGTTCCAACAAAGAAATAAAACCCAAACACCAACTCAGTGCTGAGTTTAGACACTGACAGGATGGAAACCAGAAGCTGCTTCACAGAACAAAATGTAAAAATACAMATAAAGATGTGAAACAGAGGGAATAAAAGGAGAATAAAACTGAATAAACACATTAAATCATTCAGCTCRCACGGAGATAGTTTCAGGAAATAGTCCCAGCCAACACATAGCTATGTTCTGAATGTTTTCCCACCAGCTGGGGTCAAAAACTGAAGAACTGAACCAACATTTACTGACTCAACAACTCTGTTTGGGTTTTGAGGCACATTTTTGCACAAAGATTTCACAATTTATGTATGAAGCTGCAGAAATATGAAGAGGAGTAATTCTCCGAAGCAAACACGGTTCAGTTTGGTCATTTAGTCACTCATCTGCTCCGGTTCAGCCCGGYTCAGATTCAAACCAGTTTTAAATCAGTCTTAAGGTTATGATATAAGAAACAATACCAGTTAAACATGCCATCCATCCTGGTTTCACATCAGGACAAACTGCAGAAATGTGTCAGTTTTTTCTGTGTGGGACAGTTGTGTTGTTGCGTGTTCAAATTAAATCATAACCTATGTGTGTGTGTGGGGGGGGGGGGTACTGTCAGCACAATCTGACAGCTTTCTAACACTGCAGAGGGAACGCAGGACCGGTCTATCATTCTCTCACCAACCTGAGCTGTGGGGGTCCTGAGCCCCCCCACAGTTCCAGGTTTCTGCATAAGAAGAGAAATCATAGAGACCACTCCCCCATCAAGGTCAAATTTACAAAGCTCCCCGGTGTTCGTGTGGCTCAGAGCCCTGAAACAACCCGCCCTCCCTTTCAGCCCAGATGCKAGGCGCGTCTCCGAGGAGCGCTAACGCACAGGATGACACGTCTCCCAGCTCCAAYATGACCCACCTTTATTTTCCCTCCGTGACAATTTGGGGACAGCTCTGACAGATGAGACGAGCTGCAGCCGGGTGAAAACAACCGGCTGACAGACTCACAGGGAAAAAACAGCCTAATGTGTCCAGATCTGCAGCCTGAGAGCGAGCTGCGWGAGAAGCTAAAGAAAAACCTGTAAATTAGATTCAATGGATTCATTTCAGCTGTTAGTGAGGCTTTATGACAGCATCTTAACTGCAAGCATTAAAATCTGTTAAAAACCTTCTCACTGCTAAGACCAGTCAAAAGAAAACACACCAACCAGGGGCCCTTCATTTGGAAATTTATAAGTGAAATTTGTGGCCGGCTGCCAGCGACCACAGGTGTTTGTTTAYATCAGAAAATCAGCTGGAGAGACTGAAAATAGGTCAACAATGRAGACGAGCTGTTCCAGATGAAGTTCTTACATTAKGCAGACAGGTGTTTTTGTTTATGTCAGGTGTGGACCCACATTTACAAGCTGCACCATTTGTTTCTGCTCAGGTTGACTTCATWTCTTTGACTCACTTCAGTTTATTATGTCTGGATTTTTCCACTTKGCACACATTTTTTGCACCAACGTGAGCTTTAAACTACCTGTTCTGTGCAGATATATTGTTGGTGTTATGGTGTGCAGAGGTTGCACAATATTCAGACACTTTGATTGCATCACATARACAGTGGGTTTTACAGGGAAATTACCTGGAACCAATAAAATCAATATAAATCTGTCTGTTAACATTTATAAACCAGTTTCATGTTAACACTTTGCATTCCTTGCAGGATATTTAGACAGAAGTTTTCTGAAACATGAAGCTTCAGCAGAAATTAATCATTTGAACCGTTGGGTTGGTTTGGTTTATCCAATCAGCTGCAGGTTTTATCCTTGGAAACTTTAGGTTTTCTGCTCTGACCACACAGCTCTAACAGCAGGACTTGTTCTGACCCCTCACCACCCTGTTGTTCTGCAGAATCAGAACAGTTCCACCATTCTTCTAATGGGCGGTAATCAGAGGCGCAGTTGTGACTGCGCTCTTGTTTAAGTGCGCACAGGTAAACACGGGCTGCAGGTCAGCGGTGGGGGGTGGGGGGTGGGGTTTGGAGAGGCTCAGGGGGGGATTAGGCTCTCTGAGCGGTCACCTGCCGGCTGGAGCTGCCGGGAATTAGAACAAAACCGGACTAATCAGAGGAGCCACGCCTCGAGCCTCAGCAAACTGCGCGCAGACCTGCTGCAGAGACTGGAGGACAAAGTTGTCCAGCAGCGGACAGAGGACAGAGACCAGCAGCAGAGGACAGCCCTGCAGAGCTGGGCCCGGTTCTGTTGCAGGTTCTGTTGGTAAACACGTCTTACCTTGGACCACCAGGAGGACCACCGCCAGCTTCCAGCCGCTCAGCCCCGGAGGAGCCGCGCCGCGCGCCGGGTAATCTCTCACCATTCTTCCGCTCAGGAGACCGGGTGGACGGAAAAATCCACGACACCCAAAACCGAACCGGACTCCGAATTATTCCTCAGAAACTTCCAGCTCAGTTCTGAAACCAGCCAACTTCTCCCCCTCCTCCTCCTCCTCAGTCAGACTGGAGACCCTCCGTCTCCTCCTCAGTGCGCCCTGGTGACCGGAGCGACCCCTCCCTGAGCGACTGGTCCCACCGCAGTGCGCGCGCAGGTAACCCGCAGCGGATCGGCTCGGTTCGGCCGCAGCAGCAGCAGCTCCGTGGAAACTCCAAGTGTGGACGGACGGAGTGTGAAGAGAGCCGCGCGAGCTCCGTGGGTTTGATGCAGAGAGCAGAGAGAGGGAGAGGAGCCAGTGATGCCAGCAGAGCGCCACCTACAGGACAAAACAATCAGAGTCACAGGCTGCCGCTTCAACACACACACCTGAACACACACCTGAGCTCTGATGAGACATGACGTCATCACATCCCAGGACCAATATCATGTCATTAATCAAAGTTAAATAAGGAAACTGTCAAGAAAGATTTAGCTTAAAAGTTAAACCCGGTTCAGATTCTAACATGATTTCACATGAAGATTGAGTTTAAATTTAAAATGTTCTGTTCATTTTTTCACCACAATCCAAGAAACTCAGGTAGAATTGGTCTTACAAAGAAAGAAAAACATGACTCACTTCATGTTCTTTGATCAAAAAGAAGAAAAAGCAGCAAACACCCACTCACATTTCAAGTGTTGCTGCAGTCTGAGAACATAAAGAACCAAACATGTTTCTGTGGGGAAAAAATCTGAAATTTACCCAAATTCAAAAAAAAACAAGGCTTACATTTCTCAAAAATTGTTTATTTACGTTAAAAATGGTTTTCTATAATTATCTAAAGCTCGTGTTTGCGCCGTGTTATTTTAAAGACGTGTAATTTCAGGCACAAACTTTTAATTCCATTTCACTATAATTAGAGGTAAAAACAGACCAAAGCTGGTTAAGTGAAACAAGTTTGTTTTTCTCATCACCAAATGTTGAAAACATTCACACATGGTTGGAAAATGAACAAACATCAGAAGCTAATGTCATAAAAACTGAAGTGAAACCTAAATGTTTCCATCAGGAACATGAATAAATATTATTAAACCTTATGGAGCATCTAATGCAACAATCTTCAGTCTTAAGTTTCACCTTTACCTCCCTGAGACAAACAGAACAAGAACAGTTCAAATGTCTTTAAATTTCTTGTAAAATTCTACAAAAAATACATTTTCAGACTTCTAAGAATAGACTTCTACACCTAAAGCACTAAATGTTCTTAAACAGATTCKGACTAATTGAGTTCTGTCAGTGAATCTTCAAGGTAAAAACCCTTTTCTTCAAAAACCCACTTCAAAGTTTCTAAAAGATGCTTCAGTGCTTTAAGGAAATCCGGACAAAAGGCAATCAGATTTTAAAAATCTTTTCTGCTGAAAAAAAGGACAATTAGCTCATTAAAACYGAATAAAATGGACTGATTAATTAGTCAGAAATTTAAAAGTTCAATGCAACAGAAATCCACGGAGAGGAGCCAAATAAAGCAAAGTGCTGTTTAATTAAATTTCAGGAGACTGAAAGAAGTGGAGATGATTTTATTGTTGATTACAACCTGGTTTAGGTGATCATAGCTCACTGAAAAACAAACTGCTGAGAACAACAAATGTCCAACTTATATTTATATGTTTATGTGATGAAACATGATGGGAAATGTTTCAAATAGCTTTCAATGACACTTTTAGTGGCCTTTTAGCACTCAGGATGTGTTAGGGATGACTTTTAGCTACTACCACAGATARTGTAGCTGTAAAATGAATGTATTTAGCTCTGAGAGATTTCAAAGGTTCARTGGTGCTGGTGGGGGTGATATGTGCWGGGTTGGCTAACAGATATATAATATATAATGAAATGAGATTGGATTCAAACAGAAGCRTCCAATATAAAATTATGAAAATCTGCTGTAAATCGACATGTTTTTTAAGACAAACATTAAACCAAGCTTAGCTGCATTAAAAGGTTCCAGCTAGAATTTAAACAGAAAAGGGATTTGTTAGCTACGCTAGCCGTTAGCCAGTCAGAACAGTAGTTTTGCTGCTTTTCCTTTTGTCAAATTTGAACATCCTTTGGTCTGTCCACCTTCAACTTCCAAAATATAAACCCATGGAGGAAATTTCAGTAACTGAAAGATCAAAATGAAAATGATTCATTTAAATAATAATTACAAAATAAATACAGGCTAAAATAAACACTTTCTTTCTGCAGGTGTGTGCGTGTCTGSTGCATCTTTGGTGTAAACAAGTTTGTTCTTCATTCGGTGAAGTTACACACAGCAGGTAAAGTATTTCGATATTCTACTCAATAGGAGAAGCGATACTTCATAAGTAAAAGTATACAAAAATACTCTTAAAAGTACATTTTTATCCCACAAAATTACTCAAGTAAATGTAACTACTACCCAACTCTGATGTCCACCCTCATTGGTTGTATGTGGCCTTCACCTGACCCTGGGCGGACCAGACACCTGTCAATCATTCTGTAAAGACGTTAAATGAACTGRGATGTGAAAAGTTAGCCATTTGGAAAAACTCTGGGATTTTCTCCAGACTCTTGGCACCAGTTTTGTTGTGAATTCCACAAAATGTGATGCAAAGTTCTTATTGGGGATTTTAACTTATTTTTTTTTTATTTATTGCAAACACCAGGGAGGGTTTAGCCCTATAACCCACCTCAGCCGTCTCTGCAAATGTTTCAAACTTCATCTGTTTCCAAMCAAAACATGTCTGTCAACAATTTCTGCTTCTGTATTAAATAAAACATCTTTCATATATTATATAATGTAACAACCTGCCGATTCTGCTCCAACCAGGGAGCTGCTGAGTGTCAAAATAAAACCAGACACTTAAATTAAAGCAGCTGATGGAGAAGAAATGATTTTGTGTAAAAAGTATTTGTTTTATTATAAAACTGAGAAGTTTGCTCTATCAAAGGCCTCAGACCAAATCTATAATAAACAGGTCCCTTTGCTGCAGGTAAGATACTGACTGCTGAACATCTGAATCTGTTTGAAAGGTTTCTGCACACAGTGAGTTGTAGCTTGAGTTAATATTTGTGTTAGTGGTCAAACAGCTGATAAAACAGCCTGAAGCTAAAGAAAGTCAGAAATCARAATGTTTTTATTTGTAAAGTCTGATCAGCTCTGCTCTCTGTCCTCCTCAGCATTTGTCAGTAAACTTGCAGAAGTTTCATGAACAGCACAATAAAAACATGTCCTGCTTCACCCCGCCTGCCTGTCGAACACAGACGGACAGAACAGCAGAACCAGCAGAACCAGCAATCAGTCTCGGTGAAAGCCCCTCATCATTTCAGAGCCCCCCTCCCGCCTGACCCTCCTCCAACATTTACAGAGTGATCCACRCTCAGAGGGAATGGAAGCAGGCACCTCCACGCCTCCACTGTTCCAGCAGCTCCTCTCTCTGCCGTCTCAAACAGCCATGTTTCCACCGCTCTGCTGGGTGGCGGCCTCAGCCACCCACCTCTCCATTATCACCTCATTAGTGGGCATCAAAACCCGGCCCACCCCCCATTTTGGCTCCAGCCTCAATCAGCCCATTAATCACAGCAGAGCGGAGAATCCTTCCGTCCTCTGAGAGCTCACTGTGTATTCTGCCGGCCCCTGCTGTGTGTGCACGTGTGTGCACGTTTGTGCACGTGTGTGTGTGAGTGTGTGTGTGTGTGTTGGCATGCTGGTGCATACAAATGATGCGGCTACAGCCTGCCATCTGTTGACTCCGAACAGTAATGTCTCCATGCCGTCATGCATGACACTCTCCCATCATTAGGCTGCTCTCTTATCCTTTAGAAAAACAGATTTTTATAGATTTGAAACAAAACTCATGTTTCCTCCACCCTTATGTAAATAACACTTTGTGCACATTAAAGGCAGAGACACTCAGCTGATTCTTAAAGGGGCAGTTTCATGTAAAATCAACTTTTTTGAGTTTTATATCATGTTATAATGTTATACTCTCATAAAAAACATGCCCAAAGCCTTGCTCTGACTCATTCATGCATGTTTGAGAAATCCTGCAGTGTTTTTATGAAGCCATGCTGAGGAGCAAAACGACAGGTGGGGACCAGAAACACCCCTGGGACGTGTCTTTAAGCTGAACTTCCACATGGCAGAGCGCACCCCTCCCCCCTCCCCACACACTCCGCCCATGACACCTGCAGGCACTGAAAGTGAAAGTGAAACCTAACTGTCTGCTGAGCTCTCAACATTAGTTCTCACTCAGTGAAGCTCTTTTCAGATTAAAAATACCTTTGAGGAAATGTATTTTCAGATGCCAAGTAAACTGCATCATGGCACCTCCCCCACATTGAAATGGGCGAGACAGAAGCAGAAGGTGGTTCTTAAAAAGACAGAGGCCAATTTCAAGGCATTTAGAAGAGGAAGTGATTAGAAGATAAATTTATTTTCCATTTAAACATAAAAACAGTGTTTTAACAACAGCTAAAGGTGACATAGATACTTTATTATGGTATAGTAGTTAAATATATGCCTGAGAAACACATATTATTGGCCCTTTAACACTTCTAAGTAGGTTCAGTCACACCTAAAAGGATTTAAAAGCAGGCATATCTGTGGGCAGCCCCTGACGTTTTATACATTCACAGGAAATACAGCTTGTGTCGTTGGGCAGCTGATATTTAACAGCTCAGGTGGTTCAGGTGTTTGTCCCTCCTGAGAGGAGACCTCCAAGACCCAACCACAAAAACAGAGGAGCTGAAAGGAGGAACGAGTTGATTTTATTTCCTCCCTCAGCACCAAGTCTGCAGAGTTAAATGAGATAAACAAATGTAACACGGAGGACTCTGCTCCTCAGATGCCYGAGATGTTTTGACCGTAGTCCAGGGTTTTTCTTCTTGTACCCAGCAGCTCAGTGGGCTGTGTGGATTCTTGGCAGGTCTGAAACAAAAAGGTGCCTTTGACTGAAATTCCCTCTGACTTATAGGAGCAGCAGCAGCAGTTACTCCAGGGCTGGAAGTCAAGGTCGACACGTTCCATCATCTTAATGCGGAGCTAAGAGCCATTTAAACAACAAGAAGTTATTTTTAAATTTGTTTTAATCAAACTTCCAGACTCACTGGAAATAAAACCTACAGAGTTTTAATGTGGAAAATGAAATGAGGAGTTCAAATAAAAGATAATTCTGATGTCTGAAATGTTTTTCCAAACTGAGGTTCCCGCCCCCCTGACAGGAAGTCAGAAACATGTGCAGAACATTTTAAATGCGTCAGTTGACTCTGCACAACCAATAAATGTTTGATGATTAAATACAATAAATGTCAGTTTCACATAAAACACTTGTGCATTTCATCAAACTGARCATGATGAAGTCAGGATTGTGAGATATTTACAGGAAAGTGTTTGCAGACAAGAGAAGTGTTTCTCTGCAATCAGAGACAAATAAAAACATTACTCAGTTTAAAGCTGGCTTGTAAATGTTGTCATTTGTAGACATGACAAAGATCAATAGAGTTTATAAAAGCWGGGAGCAGATATTAAAACACCATGTCCAAAAAAAAAAAGCTTGTTAAATATTTGAAACCATCAGTCGACTGGCAGATCATCTTTTCTGGCACCAAAATGCAAAAAGGCCACATAAATGCAGTTTGGGGGGAAATTTGTGTGACATAAATAATGAGTAAGCTCTGGCTCGGGGCCTGTTTGGCCCCGCAGAGCAAACAGAGCAAATTAATTCCTCCTGCTGTAATGATGTTGTAAACAAAATCAAAGTCACTTTAGATCAACTCGTGCCAGGCGCCGTGTTTAAAGTCACTCCTGTCAGTCATGTTGGAGAAGAGGAAGACATGAAACAGACTCWTGTTCACATCCTATAAGGCTAAAGGCTGTGAAGAAATTCACTTTATGTTACATGATGGTTTTAAAGRCTCTGTTTTAACGTGGGTCAAGTCCGATTTGGCAGATGGGTCGTCTTCCGTTTCCATAAGGGAATACTCAACTCTGATTTGCTGTGGTGTACCTCAAGGCTCTGTTTTAGGACCTATWCTTTTTTGTTTGTACATGCTGCCTTTGGGATCAACATCTAAAGAAAACAACAAAATATCTTTCCATTGTTACGTTGATGACATCCAAGTTTTTTATCCTTTTGATTCAGATGTCTCTGCCCCACGGCAGACTTTTGAATTGTCTACAGGAAGTTCAAAGTTATGTTATTTGGTCATCTTTCTCCTCTTGATGGTTTTCCTGTGATTCTTGGCCCACTTGCTCCTTGTTGTTCCTCTGTGGTCGAGAATCTTGGAGTGTTGAACAGTAATTATCAAAGCATCTGTTTTTCTCTTAAACTCCTGCTGTTCTTCTGGTCATCTTTACTCTTTTGACCTTAAWTGTAATTGGCAAAGCAAAATCTTACATTCYCCATAAAAACCTAGAAACTCTTATSCRTGCCTTGATTACTTCTAGACTGGAGTCATCTTTATATGTTGGTTTGGAACAATCATCTCTCCATCGTTTGCAGTTCTGACCTACACTGGCTGCCTGTTGGATTTCACATTGATTGTAAAGTTCTTTTACTCACTTTWAAAGTTTTAAATGGTTTAGCACTCAGTTATTTATTGGCTCTGTTACACTTTTATACTCAAAGAACTGAAATCCTCTATTCTAGAGGGGACCAGGCTTTTGCTGTGGCGGCCCCCCAATACTCAACAACTTGGAACAACTTGCCTCTGGAGATTCGTGCTGTTCTACGTTTTTTYTTYTYTTTTTTACCATTTATTTGCCTCAAAGGCTGAAATCTGAGTGAAGCGATTGTTGAAGTGTTTCACTCCTCAGGCGAGGGTCGCGAGTTCGGATTTGTTTGGAGCTTAAAMCCAGGAACCGGTCTTTCAAGCAGAGAGGTGGGCTTCTGGCAGCAAACAGCCTGAAAGCAGGAGAAGTCAGCGCCTCCATCGTAAAACGACTGAAGCCTGTAATCATGTGAAATGAAAGCTCCCATCACGTCAGGATGTTCATCTTTAAAGGAGGAGTTAAAAGAATCTCTCAGGTGTCACCCTGGTTAGAAATGTTTGGTTTAATGGAGGGGCTTCCTGCACACACACTTTCTGCTCATGAKTTCATGTTGGATTCGGGTCGATCTGGGCCGTCCTCCGTGGCCTTGGCTCTTTAATCACCTCTCCTCCTGCCTGCACCTCCCCCTCATCCCTCCATTCAGCCATTCTTTGATCTCCCCTCCATACATCTGCCAATCCACACAGCAAAATACATCAAGTCTCCTCCTGACAGCCGGCCAACCCAAACACTGACTGACTTATTTACCTCATTATGCCTTTGATCCATATGAAGGTGCATTAGCTCGACACAGAGGTGCATTAGAGCTGAAAGCACAACTCTGCTTCCTGTTAAAGAAAACTCACAAYGATCACTGAAATTACTTAAAATGGACAAAAGTCAGGAAGAAAAATCTCATTTTCATTAGTTTGTCTATAAAATTTCACTGAATATGAATTAATTTATGTTATTTCTGTGTCATTTGTTGGTTTACTCTCCAAGTGTTAGCTAACCAAGCTAAGAGGGGTTTGCGTACGATGCTTTTACCTCCACAACAGTTTATGTTAAAGACTTTTATAGAGAAAGAAGAGTGGGAGGGAGGTGAATAAGTAGATGGATGGATAAGAGTCAAAGGAGAGGTTGCTGCTTGGTGGATAATCTTTCAGTCTCTAAACACAGAGGAACAGAGGGTTAGAGGGTCCTGCCAGTCATCCTGAGACGTCCCCGCTGACGTAACTGAGGTGATGGCCTTCAGGAAGCTGTGTGTGTGTGTGTGTGTGTGTGTGTGTGTGTGTGTGTGTGTGTGTGTGTAGGGGACAAGGACGTTCAAAGATGCTCCACTTTTCAGAAGGGCTGCATTTGGAGAGAAGTGGCTTCTAATCTGAAGCCATCAGACTGTTTTACTGCGAGGGTCAGAGAGGGAAAAGCTTTTCAGCTCCAAGAGAAGCAAAGAAAACTAAAAACATTCAGAAGTTCAAGAATTTATCTGCAATGACTTGAGAAAAATGTGCATTTCTCMCTTCATGTTGTAGGTATGTGACGATCCTAGATCACAAGGACAGCTGAGGGGACATTTATTTTTAGATTTAAGCCATCAATAATCAGGCTGCAGATGTATAGTCTTCATTAAAAAGTAAAAGATAATTTAAATGTTTTCTCAGCAACTTTCATAAAAAAGCTTAATCTGATCAGGTCCATGCCCAAATTTACATTTTTCATTAGTAAGTAAGTAAAGTTTTATTTATATAGCGCCTTTCACATAAATAAATTCACAAGGTGCTGTACATTCAGGGGAGGGGGCAGTTAAGAAACACCCATTCAAGAAGACAAACAAGACAAACATGGGGCAACAGGTGAAACCGGTCATGCAGCAAACACAGTTGTGTTACCTTTAACAGAAAAACTAAAAACCACACAAGGGAAGATGAGGGGAAAAACCAAAACATCATATTATATCAACAATGTGACACACTATGGTGTTTATGGTGTATTATTCAAATAAAATTGTGTAACTTCTATATTTTTCGACCAATTTCAAAAAAACTTTTTTTCTTGTTTTCTTTTGTCTGCATCCAGTAAAATGGATTTTAAYACAATTTGGGGAAGTTTTGTCACATACATGATGCAATTTGATCAAAAACAACTTGGGTTTGCTCATGTTGTTTAGGTTTCTGCACATTAAAACTCACAGGGTGTGTTTCAGCTTGTAAAATTAAAGATTGCATCAAAATCTCCAGATATGAATTAGCTTTTTCTGTCCAACCAAAGCATTTAAACTACAATGATTTACCTAATTTCCCTCTGGGATCAATCAAGTAYTTTTGAATTGAATTGAATCGTCCTCTCTGCTGCAGCACAATTAACACCTTTTTACCTTGGTTTTCTAATTTGAAAAGGTAAATCTCAACTTTGCATGTTTCTGTTTCGTTTAAGGGAAAACCACAATCAGTTTAAATGTTTAATAATTAAACTCCAACATCTATGTTCTCACCCCTCACATCCCTGAAACATTCAATCCTACAGGTTTATTAATTTAAAAAACTGTTTTACTATAAATCTGACAGTTTCAGAATTTTATATCATAAAGGAACATATCCAAAATTACATTACTTTAACAGACAACTCGTACTTATTTTGAGCCCAAGACAAAACTCAAGCAGGAGAAGCTTCATGTCACAGTTTCTGATAAAGACTCAAACAAACTCACAGCAGAATCAGGCAAATATGACTAAAAATGACTTACAAACACCAGGAGCTGCAGGAAGTTCAGAAGTAAGAAGAATAAATCCAAAAACCGATGAACTGAGCTCAGAGCTGTGGACAAACAGCAGGTAGGAAGAGGAGTAATCACTGACAGCTGAGGGTCCATCAGCAAATCCAAACCAAGTGTGAAGGAAGGAAAACTGAAAAAACCTCATTAAAACAAACATCTGAACATTTGATTTGACCCAAACAAGATGGCCACCACACATAATCTGTTTTTGCCAACATGAAATTGGCTAAAACTTAATTCCTAAATGATAAATATTGAGGTGAAGTGTATTTAGCTGAGCGGCCATGTTGGATGAAAGAAAAAGCAGCGGGTGACGTGCACTCCGTCAGGCTTTTAGTTAACCTTTGATTTTTCTTTAAGAAGTTTTGTCAAATGAAATTTGTGTGACTTGGACTGAAATAAAAGAGCGTTAAAAATAAACGTTATGAAATCATTTGATTTGCGTCATTCTGAAGTGTCAAATCAACAACTTTAAAACTTTTCCCCCCATTTGTGAAAGCTCCCAGAGGTTTCTGACAACCTGAGATTAAAAGCAGTTTGTTGAATCTCAGCTGGTGTTTTAAAGCTAAACACGTCCGTCTGCGCTCCTCAAACAGCTTGAACGCCACGTTCCCAGGGTCGGAGCCGAGCTGCAGCCAAGTCGAGCTGATTCCCGCCACACAAACGTGGAGCAGTTTCACGGCGGGAATGCCAAGCAGCTTGGCAGGAAGGTGGCGTGAAGCGATGGAAACTTGGTGTTTTCATTCAGACGGTTTGTTTCATGGGAGAAAAACGAAGGAGCGGCGGTGGAGGAGGTGGAGTACCGTCCTACAAATCCAAAGCCCTGAGTAGGAGGAATCTGCTCTGCCAGTTTTTCTGAGGATGTGTGTGTTCTTTCATGTTTCATGATTTAATGCTGCCTTTAAGTCATCCTCGTAAGCTCTTAGTGAAGACATGAAGAGCTGAGAGACACTTGAAGKGAGCGCGCTCAGTGGGAGGAGGCCGTCTCAGCCAACACTAAACTGTTGACTCCAAGAAAATGACACCAGAGACGAAGAAAATCAGTTTTAATGCATGAAGCTCGGTCTTTTTTGAGTGTTCATTTGATTTATCACATCGGGTCTGCAGGTGTTACACGTAGCAGGAAGTTCATTCAAGTGATTCTGGTCTTTCTGATTTGGGTTCATGCAGGATTCAGGGCACACCGTTTGGTTCTCTGTAGTTTAAAACAGGGGCGGAGCTAAAGGTTTTTGCACGGGGTGGCCAAGGTGGTATTTGGGGGGGCTCATATTAAAAAAAAAGATTTTAAAAATTCAGTTGTTTTGAGAAATATTGAGCTGAAATTTTGTGTAATGGTAAAGAATGATCTAAAAAATACTGATCAACAATGTAAAGTTAAAACWAATTTAAAAATATGACCACATGGCTTCCAGCCAAGTTTCTCAGGGGACTTTAGTTGYTCTGTATCGTTGTGATTTTCTTTAAACGGTTCTGAAACCCAGAACTATCACACACAGTTGTTTGATTTTAATTCAGTGGTTTATACAAGTTATTATTATTTTTCTTCAAACACTGATGGGTTCGGTTTACACCAGCTACAGCTGCTCGACAGATATTTACTCAGTTTTTGCTCTAACAGACCACATTTTATTGCCATCTGCGATCCCCACAACACTTGTCAATCATTTAGGGGTGGCACTTGAGGTGGCCAATCAAGTGCCACCCTGGCCACCCCTCTGGCTCTGCCCCTGGTCCAAAACCTTTAGCTAATCTTTCCTTTCTTCTCAGGATGGCTGGGTGCTCCATGGTTAGTTGTTCAAGCTCTTTCCATTGCTTTAGTCTGGCTGTTTATTGGTAAAATTATGGTTTTTAAAAACTTTTCCTATATTTGAAACATACAGGACTGGTGTTTTCCTGGTTCCTTTTATTTGTTTTTCAAATTAAATTTCAGCATTTGTAAATTTAACTGTGAAGATGTACATTATTCTTGGCATCTTACTGTTTAAAATGAACCCAACATGGTTTTTAAATAGGCTCAGTCTGCAGATAAATATAAATATCTTTCACAACTGATTCCTGCTAACAAATCATCAATCAGGGAGGTGCAGCAGTTCCGCATCGTTTCCTGCAACAAGTTCTCCTGCAGGAACTTGTTCCTCCTACAAACCAGTTGAATTTTTCTGTTTGTGTAAGTTTGGTCTTTTTTAAACCCTAAATAGATATGTGTCCTTTTAAAAACTTTAATATTTCGTAAAGTAAGAGAAGAGTTGTTGATTTGAAAAAGTGGAACAAAATGAAGAGAAAGATCCTCATTTAGAAAAAGATTACAAAATAAAAGTCATCAGCTGAAGTCAGGATTAGTGCAGGGGGCACACASAGCTGATTTCTCAGAGGTTTGACATTTTACAGCAGAGCCTGGAGGTTAGTAATCACTTGTTCCTCGTGCCTTACTCACTCATTCACTTTCTGAAGGTCCCCTCACTCTCCTTCACACACACACACACACACACGCACACACAGACACACACACACACACACATGCACACACAGACACACACACTGCTCCATCTGAAGAAACACACACACACTCACCCTAATCTCAGACGCTGACCCCACCCCGAGGCTGAGGTAGAACATCATCTCAGAACGAGTTTTCTGTTAACCCCCATCCCACCGGGTGAGATTCTGGGTTGTGATAAGCCGGCCCCCCAGAATCAGCCTCGGTCCAGGGCTGACTGACGAGGACAGACAGACCCCCACAGGTGGCTGGGGTCTTACATCATGAGCTTTCAGGCTTTTAAAGGTCCCGCACACAAAACTGAAACGCAGTTTTCTTTTGAAAAGGTATCAGAATTTCAAATTAAAAGCTTACGGATCGGTTTCAGGTCAAAAGAATAAAGATGASCAGAGGAACAGCAGCAGTTTAAGAGAAAAACAGAAAATGTTTGCTGATTTAAATCACTTTATCAGGAAAAAAAAGTGTTATTTCATTCATGGATTAGTTTATGTAAGAAAACAAGACAGGTTCTGAGTTCTGCTTTTGTTCAGCTCCGTTTTATTTATTAAGCTTAAAAAAGGTTCAAACAGTTTATCCTCACAACCTTCAAAGAACAATAATTCAAATTATTGCTGAAGAAAAAACAGAAAGCAGGAAGATTTCACCAGCTAATCTGCAGCTAAACTTCTGCAGAAGATCCYGATGAGACAATTAAATCAAACAATTCATGCAAAACATATTAAATCTTTGTTTTCTGACCCACATTTTTCAAGGAAATKATTGACTCGCTGATAAAATATTTCATTTATCTTCTAATCAGGTCACAGGAACTTCAAGAAAAGTGTTAAAAATCTGTTTTAAATGTTTATTTTTGATGAATATACTCTAACAGTTTGGATTTCTGAGCTTTAAATCATTTTTTGTATATTTAGTCGCCTGGAGAAGCATCTAATGCTATCGTCCTCTGAGTAATTGGTAATTAAACTGATGTGAACACATGATTACACCCCCACAGCCTGGGGGTGGGTACAGAGTCATTTTCTGCTCTCAACAAGAGGTTGCCTCGGGAAAAAGGTTACAAATCAACCTTTTCGTGTGGAAAAACCAGCCGCTGAGCTTTTTCTCACAGACGCTGCTGTAATAAATCCTGCCAACGAGCAGCAAGGTAAAACTAAACAACTGATACAGTTTAACTAAAAACACGTAAAACTTGTAGAACGTAACTGATGCAGAACCTGACAGATTTAATTAGCTGATTGTTTATCACCTAAAATGTTATTTACTGGTATTATTTTGGTATTCTTTATGGTTTCAACCAAAAATGCAGGAACAAATTGTGACTTTMTAACTGACTGCTGCGAACAACAGGMGTTTKGCTTTCATGGAATGACTCAAAACYTTTTGCACAGATKGTTTAAAATGATTTAAAGTACCTGTGACATCAAATTTTTGTAATAAATACAAATGCATTTTTGGAAAGACAAYGTTAAAAACATATTACAAAACAAAWTTCATGCCACTCAGATGGACTGGTGTTGAGATATTTGCATGTTCAATAACAGGAAGTGATGTCAAAGGGGAATGTCTGCATGTGAACAGAGTGTYACTGAAAAGGCTAACACAGRCTGTAGAGRAGAATTTACAGTTTTTAATTACTTTGAGTTAATATCAAAGRAAAATGAAGACAAGTCAGAGTTCAAATATTCTTTCAATAAAAGAAACAGAGTTCTTTTTCTTAAAGAGTTCCCCTTTGATGTCACTTCCTGTTTCACTCTGAGCCAAGTTCAAAAGAAAATATGCAAGTTATGCGACAAAATGTGTGAATTTGTATGTTTTATGCCAAGTTCGTTACAGCTAATGATGCTTACTTTTAAAAAAATACGTGTCACAGGTATTTTAAGATCAGCTGACTGACTCCGCCCCTCWGATGCTGCCTTCACTGACAGTTGGACTTTCAGGTTTGACACCTTCAGGCTCTGATTAGTTCCTTTTAGAAAGACTAAATTCTTTTTAATTATGTTTTCTGCTCACAACAGAGCCAGCCTTTCAAGGTCGCACAGCGCCGCGTTCGCTGTATTATTTCCCATCATGCACCCTGGAGGACCCTCTATACGGGCCTCAAAGCCCCCCCAGCAGGACCAGCAGCCAGCCGCCTCCCACAGTAAATTCTTTTCAGCCTCCCAGCGATGGCTGCAGGCTCTTTGTACAGCAGCCAATTATTCTCCTTTCATTTCACCTTTCAGATTTCTTTTTGATAAAAGCTGATTTTATTTACTGCTGTTACCTTCTGACGTGATTTATCCACCAAATGTTGCTTTGCTTGTCTCCAGGTAAACATTTTGATGATTAATATGTACAGAAACCTTTTTTTTAAATGAACTCTGAGATGTTTCTTGTTGTGAAGCAGCTAAAAACAACMATTTTTTAAAGTTAAAGTGAGAAAAAGATTCTGGGTTTTATTTGCTTCATTGTTTTTTAAACATAGATCACAAAAACAAATAGATATTGAGATTATCTGGAGGTTTACAGACGCAGATGGTGATAAAAACCAAGCAAAACTGAAAACAGGAGCAGATTTTTAATGTGCATCAGATAAACAGGAAGAGTTGTGCTTAAATCTGTGCAACATTAATGGATAAAAAAGTAAAATTTATCACACAAAAAAGGTAAATCTGTAGAGAATAAAGTTTCTTATCAYTGCTTGGTGATAATTTGTTTTGACCTGAGCCCATTTCATAAACTACAACTTTTCTAAATAAATTACTTTTATTTTTTTTAATATACAAACTCTTCATTTCATGTCTGAGGCTGTTTGAGTAGATTTAGACAGGAAGTACGATGGAAGCTGAGGATGTGATCAGAAAGGCTGCAGTCAAACTCTTTAAGTCTTAAAACCAAAAACTTTCATTCGATCTCTGAATAAGTCAAACTGGTTTTCACTGTAACGGGATTTGAAGCCTCAGTGATTGCTTTGATGTTTTATTTGATAAAATCAGATCTGTTTCCAACTCGCCATGTGCAGCTCTGGTGTCTTTCTTTTCAGTATTAATCTCCACTTTAGGAAGTTTGATGATGATGATGATGATGATGATGATGATGATGATGATGATGATGCTGTTTGCACAGAAATAAAAAAGCTAAAAAGATGAGAGCGAGCGTGTCGTTGGTCACGCAGCAGAAAGCGTCAGGCTGATCGAACAAGCAGCTGGAATAATGTCCTCATGTATCAGTCAGCCCACACGTTCAGCTCACTAATTCTCTCTCCATGGCAGCCTGTCTCCTCCCCAGATTTGGCCTTTTGAAGTGAAAATTCCCCCTCCCCTCACTGATCCAACC